CCTGGCCTCCAGCGGCACCTCCACTGACACCTCTGCTTCCCTACTGACACCCACACGGACACCTCTGCTTCCCTACCGACATCCCTGCTTCCCCATCGATATCCCCAAGGACACCCCAGCTTCCACACGGTCACCCCTGCTTCCCTGTCGACCTCCACAAGGGCACCCCTTCTTCTCCACAGACACCTTTTCTAACCCATCAACACCCCTCTTTACATTCAAGTTCCTCCATGGACACCCCTCCTTCCCCACTGACATCCCAACAGACATCCCTTCTTCCCTACCAACACCCTCATGGACACCTCTCCTTCCACGCCAACACCCTTAGGGACACCTCTCCTTCCCCACCAACACCCCCCCTTCCACCAAGTTCCACAAGGGACACCCCTCCTTCCCCACTTGCAGCCCCATGGACACCTCAGATTCCATGCCAACACCTCCACAGACACCCCTCTGCTTCCCTGCCAGCCCCTCCTTCCACACTGACACCCCCATGGAAATCCCTCTTTCCCTGCTGTCACCTCTGCTGTCACCCACCTGGACACCTGTGTCTTCCCCCACGAGCACCTGTTCTCCTTCCCCATGGACACCCACATGGATTACAGTTCCTTCCTCATGGCCCCCCACACTGACACTCACTCCTTCCCCATGGACACCCACGTGGATTACAGTTCCTTCCTCATGGATCCCCACACTGACACCTGCTCCTTCCTCATGGACACCTTCTCCTACTCCATGGACCAATCCAGCTCCAGACAGACATCCACCTGGACACTTGCTCCTTCCACCACCCCCTCCCTTCCTCATGGCCCCAAACCTTCCACCTCAAAACCTTGCTGGAACTCTCACCTTCCCCGTGGACACTCACGTGGGCACCTACAGTTCCCGCTCCAACCTCCATTCCCAAATTTCCCCTGATGCCCCCAGGCCTCACAGAGGCACCCACCCCATCCCCTGACCACACTCCTCAGGGCACAGACCCCACAAGGCACAGAGAGACCCCAGGACTGGCTGTGCCAGCCCATCCTGCCACTGTTCTGAGAGGAATGTGTCAGTGTGTACCTGTCCAGGAATTCTGGAGTGTGTGGGAATATCTGGGATACGGGACAAGCACCTCAGGAGCTCTCACAGGACACGAGGTGACTGTGAAAATTGAACTGATTTCGGTGCCATCCCTGCTTGACACCCCCCAGTGCATCCATGTGGTCCAACAGGGAGCTGTGGATGGCACAGACACCTCTCCCAGGTGTGATTCCCGCTCAGATCTCACCAAGTTCACGCTGAAAATTCACTCCATGTGCAAACATGGAGAAATCCTGGAGCCTCCAGGTTGATAAACACGGAGCAAAAATCCCCCATGGTTTAATAACCCGGCATCAACCATCTCTGCATGCACAGGCTCACAGTCCATATCCCATGAATCCTACCTTTAAGAGGGATTCATGCCATTTAAATTTCTTTTCCCTCCCCAATCCATAGAAATTGTTATAAAAATCTCTAATTTTTGAGCATTTCAAAGCAGATGGAAAAGACGGGAATGCACGGGCAGGATTACTCCAGTTGTGAGGAAGCACCCTGGTGATGGCTACAGGATCCTCAGGGAAGAGGATGCCCTCAGGAGACAAAAGAGTCCCTCAAGTTTGCCTTTAAAACACTTTTTTTTTTTTTTTCCCCGCCTTTTAGCATCCTGTCTTCCACAGGAGCTTCCAAATAAGTGGATAAATACAGCTGCTGCTTTATGGCTCCTTATCCAAACAGGCAGCCCCGATCCCGCCGCCGTGGAACCGCGGCCTTAATTGGAATCACACGTTCAAAGCTGGGCAAGTGCTGAAGCCTCTCCCCCCCCCAAAAAAAAAAAAAAGAGCCACCGAAGAGAAAAAAAAAAAATCCGTGGAAATTCCCAACTCCCGGCTTTGCTGGCACGGGGGGGGGAGTGTGGGATTGAATATGGGTGTCATTAGACGAGGGGGTTGGGTTGTTTTATTAAAAGGTTGTTAAATAAATTATAATAGGCAGCGACTGTGATTCCCAGGAGAAGTGATGTCGGAGCCGCTCGAGTTATTAAAGGAGCAGATCCACGTTCAGGCTGCTGGCGTGGGAGAGCTGTGGGGTGATGATCCAGGATGGATGGACGGGGAGCCGCCGGGATGGACAAGGAGCAGAACCACGGGCTGACTTTTCCCTTTCGCCTTCTCCTCCCCGCTCGGCCAAATCCGCTGCCTAATGACGCGTCCTGTTTCCCATTAGTACTGTGTGCTCAGCTAATGCATTTTGGTTGGAAAGCTGGAAATTTTCACTCGCTAGTAATGACTTGGGAAATGTAGCACCCAGTAGCAGACACCCCCCACCACCACCCACAGCAGCTCCAGCCCCTCCGAGGTGGAGAGATGAAAGAGATGAAAGGATGGGATCTTCATTTCTTTTTTTTTTCTTTTTTTTTTCTTAAGCAGTGGTTATTTTATTTTAATTATTCCATTTTATTTTAATTTTTTTAAAAAAAAATTCACTGTATTCTCTTAATTTTATTTTATTCCAGTTTTGGTTTTCGAGCGCGTAGAAAATAAAAGGGGAAGGTGGTGGGCAAAGGGGGGGAGTTTCTTAGGGAAGGGGTAAAAAAAAAATAAAAAAATCCCAACAACAAAACAACAACCCAAAAAGCCCCCCAAAAAAAGCCCCCAGCCCTTTGTAAACATCCCCCCTGAGCAAAGGGAAGGAGGTGAAAAGCATTTCCTGATAACTCCATTAAAGAATGAGGCTGCATTAACATTCCAAGTCCCTCGACAAGAGATGAAAGTGGGGAACTTGAGTTCAGCCTCCCCTCGCTCCAGATGTTATTATGGGCTCCCTGAAAGGTTTTTTTATTTCTTTTTTTCGCGAAGAGACAAAGATGTTGCCCACTTCAAACGGGGCTAATTGATGCTAATGACTATCAGATAGAGGGGGGGCCCTTTTCCCCCCTGCCAAGGGGAAAGAGAGAGCGCATTTTACAATCCCCCCATAGAAAACGCGCCTCTCTTCAAGCCAGGTTGGTGCTTTAGGGATTTTTGTTCCTCCCTGGCTACTTCTTTCCCTCCTCCTCCTCCTCCTCGTCGTCGCTGCCCCCTTCATCTTTTCTGTCCCCCCTTCTCTGGGCACCCCGCGGCTCTCCCTTGTTCGCCCATGAGAAATTTCGCACCTCGCCTCCCCGGCGCTGGGGAGAGCCCGGCTCCATTTCCAGTCCTTCTTCCAGCCGCAAAACCGGCCCAGCGGGGGCGGAAACTTTCCCCCCCCCCCCAAACCCGCAGCGAGCACACGCGAAAACGTGACGGGGATTTGGTGCATCTCTAATCCCGCGGGGTGAGTCCTCCTGGATCCGGGAGCATCCTATCCGGGAGAAGATGGATCCAGGGGCTCCTGGAGGTGATTAGACAGGCGTGTGCTGGCGGTCATTAGGATAACAAGCCCAGCACCGCCAACCCGAGGAGGTTGAAATCATGAGCTCGCGTCTTTTATTCTTAACACAATAAAAATTCGCTTAAAAATGGGATTCTGAACACTAAATTTAGCTTTTAGCCTCGTGTCGTATTTTTGCAGCCGTTTCTGCTGTGATAATCCATAGCAATAATAAATAATAATCCACAGGGATAATAAATAATAAGCCATAGTAATAGTAGGTAATAATCCATAAATCAGTAATAGGCAATTAGGAATGTCCTCGAATCCTGTGGCTCCTCGAGCTGCTGATTTGCCCCTTTCCAAGGTGGATCCCACCAAATCCTCCAGGGAGAGGGGAGTGGGGATTCATCAGTGAAAAGAGGAGCGTGGGGTTTGTCCAAGCAGGATGATGGGTATATGTTCATATTCCTTGGAAAGAGAAATTTTTTTGGCTACCGGTAATTACTGTGGGTTCCCTTTGCACTGGGAACACCTGGAAGTGGGTGCCAAGGTGCCACCCTGCCTTGGCTATCCCACCTTCAGCCAGCTCTCAAGGGGCTTCTGGGAGCTCCAGAGCAAGGTGCTGGTGTCCATTTTTCTTGGAAAACCCTGTCTGTCCTGTCTACCGGGGGATCCAAGTTGCCCTCTGGATCCTTGGCACCTCACAGGGTCCCACCGACAGCCCCAAAATGGGATGAGGACAGGAGGGGCGGCACCACCCTGCACTCTGAGGGTGTTGCAGAGCAAGGGGAGCCCTGGCTGCAGGTGACAAGAGCAAGGCCACCCTCAAACATCCCCCTGTGAGAGCCCAGTGTCAGCAGGAGCCTGGGATGAACAGGACAACTTGGAAACATAGGAATTTCCTAGAAGGATGTCATCCCAAACGCTGGCCTGCAGAGGAGACCGTCCCCACTCTCTCCATCCCTGTCACCTCATTTTGTCTCCTGCTTGTCAAACCTCTCCAGGAGCTGATTCAACATGTCCAAGGCCAGGCTGGACAGGGCTTGGAGCAACCTGGGATGGCAGAAGGGTGTCCCTGGCCATGGCAGGGGGTGGAACTGGATAACCATTAAGGTCCCTTCCAACCCAATCCATTCCGTATTTCCGTGTTAATGCAATGGAAAGCTACCCCTGGAAAACACAAGATTCTTGGTTTATGCTCCAGGGCAGGGCACATCCTCCTCCTCCTCCGCTCTCCCGGTTCCAGACAGTCAATACACACCCCGGCTGCCCTTCAGACACCGCTCCCGGGCTTCATTGTCAGGTTAATTTGGGATGATGGCCTGCAAAGCACCTCAGCCCCATCCAGGTCTCATTAGCACTTGATAATATCGAGCATCCTGAGGAGGCTTTTTCTCCTCCTCCTCCTCCCCCCAAGGGCACGGAGTCCTTCGAGCGGCCCGGGCTGATTTATCACCCAGGTTTGGCAAGTCCAGGCAGGATCCTAATGAAGGCCGTGCTGGAATGAGGCTCAGCAGGACCTGGATTCTGCCCCAGCCTCTCGATGGGGGGATATCCCTGATCCAAGCGGGGTCGTTCCTCGGTGTCCCGCTCCCCGGTGTCACATCTGGCCTCGTGTCTCTGTCAGATGTGAATGAGGGAGCGGGACCTGCTGCATCCCACCACCCTCACCCTTCCCGGCTCCTGGGGGGCTCATCCACCTACCCGGGGTCCAAATACAGCGTGGGTTGAGCCCATGAGTGGAGCCCACGGTGTGATTGGACTAAATGACCTTCCAAAGTCCCCCCCAACCCTATAATTCCATGATTCCGTGGGCCTACACCCAGCTGGCAGCAAAGTCTGGGTGACCCCCACAAAATCAACCAAAACCCAAGTTCTCGGAGGATGCTCCGTGGCTTTCCCTTCATGGACTGACCCGAAGACCCTGCTCACAGAAGTTGCAATTCCAGGTATTAAGAGCATCCCAAATCCACGCATTTAAAAAAAAAAAAAATTAATTGGGAATTATAAACAAACTAAGCATTGAGGCAGCGCTGGGCCGGGCTTGAGTGCACCATCAGTTCGCTGCTCCCTTCAATTATCTTTTTTCTCCCACATTGTTCTCCCCTAATGAGGAGACTAATGACCAAAGGATAGTTCATAAGTGGTTCCCAGACTCTCCTCGCCCAGGGCAAACACTGTCCACAATAGGATCACAAATTGCAGGGAGAAGCCCCGGCTGATCACATCAGAAACGGTGCAGGGATTTATCTCTCGGCCTTAACAATAACAGTATGTTCTTAATCGCCACTCCAAAGGGACAACTGGCGGGGGATCTGCCCGGCCTCATCATTAAAAGCTGGCAGCATCTTTGCTAGCGCTGCCCCTTTGTTCATCTTTCATTATCCCAATGCTCCGGCCCCGTTAATTCCCCTCCATCTTATTAAATCAATAGAGATGGAGTGGGGGAAGGATGGGGCAGATCCAAGGGGTTGGATCCGGCTCGAATCTCCGCGGGGGTACCGGGTGGGAGCGGGATCAGACCTGCTCAGCACCACGTGCGTCCAAGGATTTACTCACCCAGCTCTTGCGGCCGGGGAAACTGAGGCACGGGAGGGTCGCAGCCTAAATAAATCCCGGGAGGAGGTTTTGGTAGAGCTGGGAAGCGCTTTGTCCGACTGCCAATCCCACACCTCCCATCAGCATCCCTGTATTGCTCGACTTAACGATTTAATCAACTCCCAAAATAAAATCACGCCGTTCAGAGAGTGATGCCAGAGCGGCATCTCCAGTGAAATCCCAGCCGGTCCATACTGGCACGACACAGGGACGAGGGATTTTGTGCCACAGACCATTTGCAAAGAGGGAGATGATGCAATTTTCATCTTTTCCCCCCACCCCCCGCTTTTTTGTAACAGCTCATTTCGCCGAAACTGGTTTAGATCCATGATTTTTAAAACCGGATATTTTGGCCACTGCAATGCTCACCCCATAAGAGGAGTGTCCTTAGTCTCTCGGTTTTCCTGATGCATTTCCAGGCAGGTTACCCCATTCCATCCTTATTTTCATGGATCCAGAAGAGAGTTTAATGTAAAAATTTGACGCCTTTGCTCTGTGTCCGAGGCAACCTGGGGCAAATTCATCCCAGAAAGCCTGCAAAATATGGGATGTGGTGGCATTTCCTCCCATTGCCAGTGATGTCTTTTTATTATTATTATTATTATTATTATTATTATTATTTAATTTCCACCGAAACCAGTCAAAGCAGCCTCGGGAAACTTATTTGATGTTTCAATCGGGAATTAAAGGGGAGGGAGAAGCAGGGGAAATGCTCCCTGACCATTTAACAAGATTACACGAGGGGATGGAGCCTGGAAACATGCACGGGAACGACCCCCGGCATCCCGTGTCCCGGCTTTGCCTTGAACCTCTGCCAGCGGCGCGTTGTCCTTCCCGACATCCCGGCCCTTCCACATGGTAATCCCATTTAGCAACCCCCCTCAAAACAGGGCAATCAGCCGAGGGGATGGGGCTCCCAGCTCCGGGAAGGCGCCTGGGAAAGCGGCTGGATCAGGGCCATTGAGGGGCTGGAGGGGTCCTGCATCCAAATGCCCCACCCTGCAAACAAATCCCTCGCCATGTGCTCAGCAGGAATAATCCTGGCAGGAAGGAGAGCAGGGAGGAAGACCCGAAGCGCCTTCAGGCTACACCTTCACCTGGTTATTCCTTCTCCTATCTCTCCATCCATATCCCATCCCATTTAGCCAGACACCCATTTGCACCTCTTCACCAGCTCCCTGCATTCATCCCCAACCCTCCACCCACCCATTTTATCCCCATTACAGGCTATTCCTCTGGGAAAACACTTCTCCCTGATACACCCACACACCCATCCCACATCCTACCTGTCTTAGGAAATTCCTACTTATCTATGGAGCAGGGAGGAGATTTGCCGGGAAGGGCTCAGCGCTGCATCTTTGGCAGATAACCTTTATCCTCTTAATAAAGCTGCTTAATTCTCACTTCCTTTTAATTATCTGTCACTGAAAGCCATCCCGGGTTGTGCAGACAGGTGAAAAACTAATGTCTTGCAGAAAGTAATGGATTAGGAAGGGACTAGCAGGGTCTTTGGGATGGGAGGAGGGGGCTGGGTAAAGACACAGCTCTTCTCCTTTATTCTTCTCCTTTATTCTTATTCTTTTACACACAGACTTTCCTGGGGGATGAGAAGAGCCAAGGCTCTGTCCCAGGTGGGTTGATCCAGCCCAAAACCTTTCCAAACATCTCTCTCCCTTATTTTCCACGGTGCTGGGTTTGATCCCAATCCATGTGCCCCAGCTGATCTGCCAGGAGCTGGGCTGAGCTGCAAGACCTCCTCTTCCCCGAACTGGGGAGGGACTGGGAAGGAAACTGCATTTCTACCCCATTTCCAGAATGTCCAGGCTGGCAGGGGCTTGGCAGGGCATAAAGACCTCCTCTTCCCCGAACTGGGGAGGGACTGGGAAGGAAACTGCATTTCTACCCCATTTCCAGAATGTCCAGGCTGGCAGGGGCTTGGCAGGGCATAAAATGACCAGGAT